CAGATGGTAAAACAGTGTTTGGGACTGGATGGGAGATTACAGATGTTGGAACATACTCTGTGGTATCGAAATCTGGATTCGTTCCTGGTTATTCTGCTGGGTTTGCCTTTGTACCAGAGTTCAAGCTAGGTTTGTTCTTCTGTTTTCTTATTTTGTTTCTCGCATTTGCTTTCCTGACGAGAAGGAAGAGGGGAGGGAATGTGGATTGTCGAAGGGGGAGGGAGCGAGTGGGAGGAGAAACTAAACTGTCCCCAGTAAGCTTGAGGTCGAACTGTGCGGCTGTTAATAGAGCTGGGCACTGCCGAACTGAAGTTGGTTACAATAATTACTTTAAAAACCATTCCACAGGTGCTGTTGTCCTTGCCAGCGGTCGTGAGATTGCCTGGAGGGTAGTACAATCAATCGTTGAGACATTGGCTAAAACGATGGATGCAGTGTTGTTTAGCCAGCAACTCCAGGTAACAATTGTGGATTATGAATAAGTATTGACAAGATCGATAATCAAAATGATTTGCCTCGTATTATCTTAGGTCGAATGACGGAGAAATAGTTGATGTGTTAGAACAATTTTTCTTGTTCTTCCAAACTAGCACTCGTGTTTATTGTATGCCTTTAGATTGTTGTGCGCGCGAGTACCGCTAAGATTGCGAGATTTACCACTTACAACTTGCGAACCCAGTCAGTTTGGTGGGAGAACCTCTGCCTGTAGTCAGTTTTCCCCGATTTTTCCGATCGTAAAACACAAATCTATCCTCAAGGAGCTCAGCCATGCTTATTGTGTTGTTCACGAATAGTAAAAGACAGCCTTTTAGAGGGATGTCTTCTTTTAGCACATAACATGGCGCTAACAAGTTGCGGTGAAATCTCGTAGTGTTGTTTCTTGGTCGCACTTCACTCAGACATAAGGCCCTCTAGTTCTTATATCTTCGTATCCTCAATGTTATTTTTTGCATATTTCTATAGATTGAACTTCTCCCCAATAATGAACAGTACCTTGGTGAATACGTAATTGTGTCCCAGTGGATTCCGGAAGTAATTGTTAACATTACCCAAGAAGACGGACTACTTCTGTTTACTCAACTCCCCGGCTCTCTCGGTTTTTCGTATCTAAAGCCCATTGCAGAGCACTCGTTTGAAGTCATTTACAGAGCTGGATTGGCATGTAGCGTTTATGGCCTAGGTCAGAATCGAGAACGAGTCTTCTTCGATCCACCGTCCTCAAATGGAAAGAGTCCAGGCCTCAAGTTCGGTCCTTTCATATTCAAAAGAACGTTGCCTACGGCTAAGAGCGATTTAAAGCCAAGAACTTCCAATTTGAACTTATCGCCTTCAGGCCTACTCTGACGTAATAATGGTATAGTTAATGTTATATATAGGATTTGGATATATTTATCTGGCTACGAAATGTTTGATATAAAAACCAGAACAGTCAACAATCACATACAATTACGTACATATCCAGATGAAAGGGTTGCTGGTCAGTTATAAATCAATTTTAAGCTATGTAAAAACATTGCCTACTTCAGGGATGAAACCCAGAGATTCTAATTCTTGAAATGATTTTATATTCTCAAATGTCGCTTAGTCACGCTACAGGTCGATCATACAAGGTCACGCAAAAGACCAGTCACGCTAATTCACACGATGGATCTTGTTCTCTTCAACAGACCAACAACAACAACAAAAGTAACAACAACAACAGCAGCAGCAGCAGCAACTCTATTTGGTATCTCTGTTTGGTTCAACTGGAGTTACGGGACCACATTTCATGTAAATTAATGGCTTAGCATAAACTGATATGGTTACGTTACGGTCTCAGAGATTCGTTCCAGAAACGTTTCTTATACGCATTGTTTTTGTACATATTTTGAATGGAATTTGGGCCGGGCCCCACAGAATCAAAGAGCCTAATTTAAATTTAAAATTATTTAAAAGGTTTTTACACACACATATTTAGAAAAAAAAAAAGAATATTGAAATATCAAAAGTAAAAGTAAAATTTTAAAAGCTCGAGTGTGCCTTTTATCATTGTTTCTTTTTGCAGACAAAGACCGGAAAAGCGCCAGTGGATGTACTTTTTTATGCATACTAAAACTTTCCTTCCTTCCTATTAAAGGGAACATTGAGAAAAAAAAAGGGAACAATGGGATTTATCAATAGAGAATAGGGAAAAAAAAATGGGATTTTCAAAGGGTCAAAGGAACATGCTACCAACTCTTTCCCCCTTCCCCCGGGTGGCCCCCCAAACTAGTAACTAGAGACGTCTGTAGTTTAGACATGATCCTTGCATACGCCCCAGGCTTCTAACATTTGAATTAGCCAATCAGGATTCAGCAGGCGTGAGAGACTGATCTGTCCTGACGTCACATGTATGTTAACAGGAAAGGGATTGAAGTCGGGCCACTTTTCTCACTGAAGACTGTATTGAATATTCACGAAAAACTCCGGCAAGGGTTTAAAAAACAAGAAACAATAATAGCTTGTAACAAATGAAAAAAAAATGAAACATTTTGTTCCTCTAAGCATTAACATGACGCCAAAACTGGTCTCGCCCGTCGCCAGGTATATAGGTTAATAGCTGTGTTATTCTTAACAAAATATCTTGTTCGTCGTTACATTAAACCGGGAATTCTCGAGATAAATGGGAGAAGAGATCAATACAACTTACCATTGTCTTTATTTTTGTTAGTTTCAAACACAATGTATTTTATCATGTCATTTCGTTCGAAAGGACAATACAGTTTTGACAGTCGCTCGCACTGCGGGCGCATGCGCCGTACGCAAGGATACTCACGCGCATTTGGAACTTAAGAATCATAATTGACACCACACAGTACAACAGACCAGTACAATGAATCAAATATTTAATATGTCATAGTTTCGGAATAGTTATATAGATATACACTACTTGCAACTAAATCCGTGGTACTAAATGCTTAAGATACTCATCCTTACTGGCCGACATACACCAATCGTAAAACTTGGCTTCTTGCCTTGTGACAAGTCGTTCACGGGCGTCGTCAGATTTCACATTCGCTTTAGCTTATAGTTTAGTTTATCAGCGTTCGATGTAACTTTTAAGAGCCAGAAAAGCTATTTGATGTAGTTCGTGTTTGAAAAAGTGGAGCAAGTTCAATCGTAGAAAAATCCCTGAGCAGCCATACGATCCACCACAGGTCGGTCAGGATTGTCGCGGTCTATCAATGGGCCTCCCTTCCTTGCTTCGATCATGTCTAAGGACGGCTGATCGCACGTCGAGTTCGAGGGATTACTGCAGTGACTTGAAGTCCCACTTGCACCTTTGCCTGAATGTGACCCATCTTTACTGTCTTTTGAGTCTGGCTTGGTTTCTTGGTCAGGTCGAGTCTTGAAGAATGTGTCATCCATGCTAAAATGTGGGATCAATCGCCGACACTGAAAGAGATGGTGCAATGGTGTTTCCTCGTGCCGGTTGTAGCTTAGTTTTGAGTTTAAGAAAGAAACTCTTAGGCATTTATGTGATTTAAAATGAAATATGACGTAATATGTATTAGAGCCTTGCTATGTTTGGTGCGTTTCGAATTCTAATAGATGATTCTCATGTATTTAGGATGCACTGATATTTTTCAGTTTTACACATTATTTTACTTTCAAAATTATAACCATTTCTGGAAGTGTTCGTTGTCAAAAAAATCATACGCAACAGAAGGCCATCATTTACTTTTTAAGGGTATGCGTATAATGGTAACGACAAACGATGAGTGGCCGCTAGCAGGGAGCTTAAGCAAACCACGACGACGATGCCAACGAGATCGTCATCAAACCAAAGATTTCATGAGCAAAACAATAGCTGTTCACGTGCGTTATAAATCTTTGTCTAGTTTACTGTCCTCTGCAAAACAACGACGTGAAATGATCAAGTCCTGTGTGTTTGGAGAACGTTAACCGCGACGCCTAATTTTGCGCATTTTCGTCTGTAACTAAACGCTATCGTAATATATTTAGCCTGAGCAAGTTTTTCGACCGATAGGCGTACTGAACAGATCTAGACATTTGCGACATTCAAAGGTAAAATATAAGTCCACTTTCTACTAGGCCTTGTACCCGGCGTCGCCGTCGTTATAGGAAAGATATCTTTTTACAAACGTACATTATTTTTGTTATTTAAATGCACAAAGAGTTAAACAATAGAACTCTTTGTTTCAGCAGCCAATAATTCTCTGGTTTGCCATTTGATAACAATAGTTGACGTCACTAATATCTTTGCCATTGGTTAAGCTCCACTGAGGAGAATCTTTCACCAAATAAACAGAAGACTTCTCCACGAAAACTGATAAACTAACATAAACTGATATCAACAGAGTCAAGTAATTTTACAGAAATTATCACCTCTCTACCCATGCAGAGGAGTTTGTTTTGTTTGGCCTCATGATACTTTCGTTTGAAATGTGACTATCTTGGGTAACCTTTGTAACTTACATTCCCCTGCCACGAAAGTTTTGCAAACGTGTTTTCAATATATATTCTCGGAACAAGATTCTTTTAAGTCCTGTTTTTGTTTCCATTTCGGAGAAACAACGACAATTCCAAGTATTGACTTCCGGGTATTCGTGGAATTTTGCTGTCTTTGTCATGATGAGTCGTGTTTTTCTGGTATGGAAATTGCATATAATATATTTTCGGAAAATGACTGGTGAAATCATCTGACTATCATTTCCTTCTGTAAGACAGTATCTTTAAAGAAATGAAAATGTTATCACTATCGACAGACCGAATTTTTCCTTAGCTAAGTCAGATTTCGTTGTTTGTTAATCTTTTCAAGGCAAAATATCTAAAAGCTTTTCTTGGAGGTAACCTGTGTTATCCAAAACTGTTTTAATTGAGTAACACATTCTTAGAATATGGTAATTTCTTGATGACCCAAAGAATATTTTCAGAGCGCTTCTGATATTTTTTGATAACCTTATGATAGAAAATAATTATTAAAGATTGGTGGAAGACATATTATATACTGCAACGACAATTGTGAACAATTTGCTTTTATTTCTACAAATGCATGTAACACAGTGTAAATGTCGAATAGATATAGCTGGATATCCTTGAACAGCCCACACAAAATAACAGATCTGATTTCTCATTGCTTTCTGCTGCGTTAAATTTGAGAATTACCGACATCCCGTCCGAATTAATAGCGATCATTCAGTACAACTGAAGAACAGAAAAAGGAAAAAAGCAGACTGAAACTATAAACATGCAAGGACAGCAATATTTCCTTACAATTTATACATAGTGAATGCAAATCCAAAATTTTGTCTATTTCTAATCTAAACAGCAAGCGATTGCGCAGAGGAATATATCATAGGCATTTCAAGACGTCTTAAGAATCGGTTACTTCAGTTCCGCCGTCGTTTGATTAGACACATCTCAGTCAATACATGAAGAATCCTTGAGCAGCCATGGCGTCCACCACAGGACGATCAGCAACAGGCTCGCGAACATCGTGAACAAACGCAGGGACTTGCCGAGCGGGCTCGCGAACAGACAGTGGGACATGGCGAACAGAAACGACCTCCTGCTTTACTTCAGGGTTGCTGCTCACGACTAACTTTCCCGTATCCACATCAAATTGCAGCCGCTCCTGCGTCGACTCTTCTCGAGGTCGATTAGTGTAGTTGTACGGCTGTCGACTTGCACCTTCTTCAACTTGATCAGGCCGCTGCGAACCGCCGAAACCTGAGTCAAACAATCTTCTGGTTGGGGCCTTCCTCTTGTCATCCATATTGAACGTCCAGCACGATGTGACTGTAGAGGCGAACACTGAGTTGTATATGTGGATTTGATTCAACTTTAAGAACACGAACACAATTAAAGCGAAAGCGGAAATCAAGAGGCATGCGCGGACTCTTGAACAGAAACGCCGGCATGACTTCAGGGTCAACCATAAAAACATAACTACACTTTCACTAGGTTCATATTCCTGCCGGAAGCTCTCCGTTTAAACAGGGTAAATGAAAACCTTAATTTACTGCTATCCTACAGACCCCTTTGTTGTGGACCAAAAGACAAATTTTATTTTCTTCAATCAGGAAATGCTCAGAGTAATGGGCAAATTAATGCGCAAAATTTTCTGTAGTCCAAACTTATTTGCATAAAATGACACCGTTTTCTCAGAAAAGCCAATTAATGCTGGCTTGCTGACAGAATAAATTCCTTGCATCGAATAACATTTTTAGTGGAGAAAATTTTCAAACGATTTAATATAATTCTTTCTCATTCTGACTTGTTTCACTGTTCTTTGATTCTAACTCAGTTTACATTCATTGGAAAACTTCACTTTCCAACTTTCAACTTTATTACTTCCGTCCATCGTCTACTGCATTGTTTAAGCATTAATTTAAAATGATTCTTGCAATATATGTGATGATAAGGGAGTCTATAGAAACGCAAAAGAGATGTTTGAATTAAACCAGCATGTTATTCCATATTTTGCGATGAGCTGGTCCGACATATAGATCTCTTTCTGTGCAATATAGTTTTAGAAATGTCAGTATGCGGCAAATTTAAATTGAGACGAATCACATATCTTTTCTGTTGTAACGTTTGTAACTCTTTATCTATCATTTTGTCTTATTATCCACATGCATGTGTCAAAAACCTTTGCAATTGTTGATCATCAAGACGGTTTTGCCACTAAGTCTTCTTTGGCCTACACTGAGTACCTCTTCCACCATTGTTGTTGTGAGTAACATACACATTAAACTAGGAGTTATTACCATGCTTAGGACTTTTTATAATTTAATAAAATGGAGCAGGAAGACCACTTCTCGTCGCCGATTCAGCTAATTCGGTTTTCACTGAACTATGGGTGAAGTTGCACTAAATGCACGATTACCATGCAAATAAGAGCTATTCAACAGCACATTGATATGGCACTGTAGCTGTTGTCGATATTCCTTAAAGTGACTAAAATTCAGGATAATTTTCAATTTTAAAGTTGAATTCGCTGAGATTTTACCATGTTCATTGGAAAACTGATTTATGTTGTTCAAAGTTTGGACTGGCCCGGCCGGGATCATCCACCTCCATCTTGTCATCGTTACTTCCTTCTTGGTGTTCGCCATTGTTGTCGTTGATTTTCTGCCTGAAAACTTTTCCATGTGGAAGCCACTCTGTAACAAGGGGCTGATAGGACTCAGAGCCTTTGCTGTAAAGATACGGGCTGATAGCAAGAACGTTACGGCCGTTCGCATCAAAACGCCAAAAAGCCAAAATCAAAACACCTCCGTCTGGATACTGTCGGCGCATGCTGGTTGACTCTTCAGGGGAGGGCGCGTGCTGTTCGTTTGGACAGAGAATGTACTTTCCGATGTCTTCCAAAGAGTACCCCTCTACTACCCATCCTCTGTATTGTATGGTGACTTTTGGCTGATGATTTGGAGATACCGGACGAGTCTCTTTCTTGATGTTAGGTTCCAGGACGACATGCACCACAGGCGAGTTGTCATTTGTCCACAAGCCTAGCAGATTTCCTTCAGTTCTAGTCCCTTGATTGAGACCCAGCTGCTTCTGAATTATGTGATAATCCTCTTTAAACATGTAAGCAAATGTGTTTTCTTCCTGGTTTTTCTGATCAGGTCTTGACGACGTATTCATTTCAACTTCTGGATCTTTTCGAAATCTCAGCCTGTATTCATGGGCAGTTGTACTTTTGTCTTCGTCCGTCTCTATATTCCTTCGGATGACCTCTACTTCCTTGAAAGGACTACG